TTCGTTTGTACTTGCACGTTAGGCAGAGTACAGCTAAGATCAGAAAGCGGTGAATAAGTTTTGTAAGGGTGGTTGTTTTAGGTCTACATTAAGCTTAGCCTAACCCTTACAACCTCATGGGATTCATCGCTGAAAAAAGCTCTTAGGATGATTGATTTGGCAGTCTGTGCTAAATCATTAATAAATCTATCATTTATCCCTCGCGTGCATATTCTGCCTAACGATACTTATCATTAACGTTTTCGAATGTTGTGAGCTACAGCATGGGGGATTAGAGTTTTTTCTTACATTGAGCAATATATTTCGAAGAGGCATTTACCATTAAACTATTTTGTCAATATGCAGTCCAGTTCTGCTGTCATGGTTAATTTTTAGCATAATAGAAACAGAAGTAGAACATTAAAAGTAAATGTATGGACGAGCAAAACCGACTTGCCAGGATACCCGTATTTTGAAGTAAAACAAAAACGGGCAAAGTATTCCGGAGACATCGCTGGAGCACTCTCCTGAAACCGTTACTTTAGTGCCATTCTCGAAATACCACCGAAAGTAAACAGCATGTTGCTGGGCAGTTCATACACATAAGAATAAGCATATCCAAATACTAGCTCACTCATAAGCCTGTCTTTAGAACCACTTAGCAACACTGCGTTCACTTTCAGTCGGCAATTACTATGCAAAAGTAAACATCCCTTGAAATTGCTTGAAAAATAGATTGTCTTGAAGCGAAAGCGAGCAAACAAATTCGAATTTCCTAAAAAGCGTTTCGAGTTGTCATTCCTACTTTTACAACGCCAGCAAACTAACAGTTCACAGTCACTTGCAAAGTAAAATTAGATCTGCCCAAGACGATGCGCTTCCGACTTGTTATTGCAGCAATTGTTATAATTACCGGAATCAATAACAACTACAGCTTCCAGTAGTCTCCCTGGACCCCTAAGTTAACAGCCATGTGAAAGCCGGAACAGTAAGACTTCCCAGTTTATAGTCAGACGTTGCAAACGAAAACACTGTACATAACTTTTGTTAAAAAAGATTCACGGTGAAATAGACATAACTTTGGAGTCAGAACGAAAATATAATCACGCTGACCGTCGTTTCACCTTCTCACTGCTTCACACTGTCTACTTGTTTCACTGCTAAACGTGCTGTATCCTTCAGAATTTGTAGGAGCCTCTCATCCTCGTCCGAAGACTATTTTACAACCGGTAGACAACTTCTACCAGTGCAAATGATGCCGGTGGCGAACGCTTCTGTGGATTACATTAATGACTTGTAGCAGCGGACTGTCACTATATTATCAAGTAACCGTTAATTCTCATAACTCGTTGTCTGTGTTTCTATAATATACTGACTCCACATTCCTGAAATTAGCTAGGATTTTTATTCTGATAATTCGTAACGTTATCCCGTTTATCGTTGAGTCCCCTAGAAGACCATTGGTGATAATGAAATGGATATCCAATATCTTCTTTGTTCGAAGTAGTTTAAAATACGTTGGAAGCGGCATCGCCTGCTGATACTGTAGTGCCTTCAAACTGATGGGAGATAAGACTAGAGGTGTTGTTGTTTGTTATATTGATCTATGTTTTCAAGTATTGGTATTGTAGGGACCTTTTGTTTGGTTGCATGGAGGATTTCATCATGAGCTGATATCAGTTACAGAAATAATGGAAAACCTAGGAGTACTGAACAGCTGTTTCGTCCTAGTTTGGGACTCTTCATCAGCACGCACTCACCAAACCCAGGACCTTCTGGTTAAAACGCGAGCTCGTAGAACTTTGAGCCACTGGGACAGAAGTAAGAATTCAAGGGCCGCTGGATTGGATCCCAGTGGCTCAGGGGTCTGCGAGCTCGCCTTGTAACCAGAAGGTCCCGGGTCCAAACCCCGTCGGGTGCATACCGGTGAAAAGTCTCAGACTAGGACGAAACAGCTGTCCAGTACTTCTGGGTTTTCCATTGTTTCTGTAACCGATATCAGCTCATGATGAAATCCTCCATGTGATCTGTGTTTGTCCAATTCTCAGTGTATCTCTGGTGACCAGCTTTGAGATAAATGATGAGGCGACTGTTTTATTAGCGTCGATTTATTGGTTTACCGTTGGTCGGCCAACAAATCTCTGATGTTCTCATCTGTCTTTAAATATCGATTGCAGAGAAATAGAAGTGGTCATTAAAATTCTAAATAATAGGTTTCCATAGAATAGTTTTCTGCGAACAACAATTGTTACTCATAGTAGATGATAAATTCACCAGTTATTATCACGGGGTTACACATAGCTTAAAGTGCTAATAAAGTCTTTTTGACGCAGGTCTTTGTTTTAGTGTCTTAACAAGAGTGGGAATGTTTTAGATATGCAGTGGAGGACTGACTAATATGTTTGTCTGAACTTTGCTTCAATTTAGCCTTTACAAAAACCATATATTGGCTGGTAGTTCTTTTTACCAGTAGTTATTTGTGGTGAAGAAGTTGGCCCAATTGCTTTGTTCTTAGGCGAAAATCTATTAAGGATACTACCAGTGTTTTAGTTTAAACTAAGTCACTACTATGCGCATGATTTTCAACGTTCTATTTTATGGCTAGCCAAAATTTCATGAATCATTCTCAGTCAACGACTGTATTCAAACAATAGCAAAGCATGAATTCACGACGTAAAATTCGTGGTATTATCACGAAGTAATAAGTCGTCAATAGTATGAAATATCTTAGCAACTATACAGCTCAGAGGTTTCTGAGGCATAATATGCACTATATAGCAAAAGCAATCAAATATGTGTAACTTTATATACTTCACAACCTCCAGGAATATTCTAGACAGATAGAGTAAATCAATTACTCAATAATCAGGTCGAACAAAAGGCGTTTCCCGCAGACATTCAGAGAGCAATTAGCCAATGCATGGAGCTAATTGGATGTTTCCACAGACTTCCCCCCAACAAGGTTGAGACAGAAGTGCTTCGGGAGAATCAGATGCTAAATATCTCCTCAACTACGATAGCGCCACAACTGATCTTGAGACCTTCATCGAGTATGAAGTGAAATTAAACTAAGCAGATGCTGTATTTATATACTGCTCTGCATTAATCCAGTCAAATGCAAAATTCCATTTTAAAAGAATGTGAAAAATATAACCTGCCATTAAACCATCTCTGTGATGGACAACAACAATACAGTTAGCAGGGATATGCCATAAGGCCATTTCAGCATCGGAAAATGTAAACCAAAGTTTGCAGCAGGCTGTTGGAATCGCATTACGTGACGCGCTCACCTAGTATATGAACAACATAGAAGTGGTAACTTGTCAAAACTTGAAAATTCTCGTGTCACTCGTAGTGATGAGTGCCACATAGTGTGAGTTTCACGGTTAACTTCTGTCTCTAATTCATCAGTGGACAATGGCAATCTGGCCTTGACATTCTCTGCGATGGTTGTAGTTGAAACAGTGGTGTTCACTCTTCGCTACCCGATTTGTATTTTTGAGGTTTTTTACCACCTAAAACGCCCCCCTTCTAAATGTAGAACTTCCAGTGTTTCTTAAGTCACTGTCACCGCATGGCTTGCCGCGGAGGATCACAGGTGATAACAGTCAATCATGGCTTACTCCTGTTTCTTTCCAAAGGCTTAAGTGATCTTTCCCTTTTGAATTCTTGAAATGTAGCATCATAGAATAGCTGATGAGTGGGGCTTATAAAAGCTTGCGGCTTCAGATCCCCTAATTTTAATGCATCTTCCCAATCAATTCGTGGTAGACGAAGTGAAAGATATTTCCTCATTCGATGAAGCCGAGGTTGAGAGTTAACTTCCATCCTAGATTCTGCTCGATGGTGATGCGTATTACTGCAAGTGGGTGCATGCAAGAATCTTTTTCCTGAATTCGTCATTTTGCGCGTGAAGCATTCCTCTTAGAAAATTCCTGCTTTTTCTCTGATGACTACCATCTGTCACGTTCCGGGTAAAGTCTTCCATCCAGAATATCTTCAGCTTTTTCCTGATGGTTGCTATGTAGGTATGATTTGTAGCTTAGTCCTTCACTTTCTAAGTGTTCGACATGGATTGTGGTTTATCCCAAGCTTCTTTGGAGGCTTTCAGCCCAATGTTCAAAGTTTCCTGTACTAGGTGGTGATGTAAACCTACTTCTGCCACCCTTTGCGATTTCGTGTTAGCGAGATTCATCATTTCTAGCTCATTGTACCAAGCAATTCTCTTCCCATGTTGAGAACTCTTCCTTTATTTTTGCTCTCAGATTGACATGCTCTCATATCACCCCTACGGGCGTCAGCATCTGGTTTGGGTTTTGTCCAGTGTTGCTTGAAGACGTATGTAGAAGTCACCATTATTTGTAGCAACGTACTTTCCTTCCTTGTGAGTTGAGCCTAGCCATAATAGTGGTAACATTAATTTATTCCTGCTTGTGCAAGCACATCAATTATACTGCGCAAATTTTCTGATTATCCCTGTCAATCAGCGTGAAACATTGAACGGATGTTGTCTGTTCATTTTCTCCAATCAAAAGAAGACCCTCTGGTAGACTGTCCTCCAGGAGTCCTACACACACTGGTGGTATCTGTCATGGGTTTGAGTGGTAATTGTTATTTCGGTGGAGAACAAATTTATTCTTTCTGTGCGTTAAAATTTCTAAGAGAAGAGGATGTTGTTTTATCGGTTGAAATTGCCAGCCCGTTTCCAGCCTTTCTTCTTTATTTGGTCTAATGCTGGTCTAATACTAAACTATGAGAGAAAATGAGCCGCTTATTTTCCTCTGACTACACTGTGTCACGAAGTGAAAATCGCGCATTCCCCGGCTGCTACTCTGTATCTTTATGAAACTTGGACGGAGCTCATGAGAAATTTTCACCTTGAATTTCTCTCATTTTTATATACGCAGATTTGAATCATTTAACTAATAAATATTTTATTTTTCCAGTTGCGTAGGATAGAAGGTACAGATAGATGCAATAGGTTTAAATGTATATTGAGCATACATCAATTTGCAACGGCAACACGTTCCAGTTCATATCATAACGCTACGGTGAAGGTAATAGGCTGAAGTCAGACTACCGCTTACTCGTTCCATTATTTTTTGATGCATAGGACAGGTTTGCGAAACTTCGTCTTACGGTATTTCTGATGAATAATACATAAAACTATTGAAAGTCCGACTTTTATAGCAAATGTGTTTCGCGGTTGTCCTGGTGTATGTTCTTTCTCAAGGTCACCCATACGTACACATTTGCCAATATTTTCAGGAGTCATACATTAAACTATTGAGAAACTTTTGGCTAAGACGGTATTTTTATATATACTCAAACAGGACTGATCCAAATCAAACATAACGTTGTGCATGTATAAAACAATCGGAATTATCAACTACTTATATGTTTTACTTTCCTTTGAAATTTACTTCTTAAGTAAATAAACGACAAAAAGGTTAAGTTTATGTTAAATGGTATTTTTTCCGCTGCTGGCATGATTGGCTAAACATTTCTGTACTTCCCTAAATACATCTGTTTGTGATCTGTACCTACCAAAGTTTACAATAATTCAAAACTAATTCTAACTTATGCGTTGATAATGTCTTTTTATGGTACATAAATGTTTTATCTACCTAAATGAACCCACTGTGTACTGAAATAACGCTTGTTGTTCTTAAAAAGACCACTGGACGCTAAATTAGTGCGACAAAACCTTAAAAATAGGATTTGCAGCTGAAATATTGGCTTTAGTGCTGAAAAAAAGCTGAATTAAGTCTTTTTGTTCTGAAGTAATGCCAGTCAGCGCTCAGTCTGGGCTGAGGGGGCTGAAACAACTCTAACTAGCAAACTCAGTGTGTTCTGAGCTACTTCTAAAAATGCCTAGAAAAAGCACAGAGTGCTAGATTAATGCCAGTCATGCTGAAAACCAACACTGAGTGAGCACAATCAAACCATTTCAGATCAATTTCAGTGTTTACACATGATAAAATGTTCAGAGTAAGCGAGATTTAATTCAACAATATAATAAGCCTGGGATAGTATTAACATGAAAATCGACATTACTGAGTAGTGGTCTGCAAATCAATTCACTTTAAATTTGCGGTGGTTTAAGGTGAAAAAAGAGATAACACTGCTGTCGATCACTAACCACATCCGTTTAGTTATCCAACCTCTAATGGCCGTTTTTCAAGGCTGCATAGTATGTTGAAGACTATTGGTTACTATTGTGCAATGAAGTCTTTCGCATGAATCAAAAGTGGCACGTTTCGATGATTTCCAAATGGAATTCCTGTATTTTGTCGAGATTCTGCCAGTCACTGACTCACATGGCTTGTTAGGTGGGTGTTTCAGTAGTAGTGGTGTTTATTTTAACAGGATGGGTTCACTAGCCTCATGCCCAACCTTTCCTCTTTACAAGTCTTACTACCGGCTTAGTGAGGTAAAGGAGTGCGTCAGTCGGGGATCGAACCCCGGACCACATGCGTGGATGTTGAGCATTCTACCGCCTTGCCACCGACGCAAACAAGCTAGGAAGTGGTAATTTACATTTGGATGTGAAATCTTGATACTACCTCATGACTGAAGTTACGTGGGAATAGATTTCATTAGCGCATATGTTATAGACGTGAAGACTAGACATCTGTGACAAATGCAACTCTATTTGGACACTTCATAAGCTCAATAAAACTTTCGGTAGACGTATTCACAAATCTCTATACGAAATAAAGTTAATGAGTAGGTATGTTTTGGGGTCCAACGTTGGTGTGAATACATAATGGACACCGGGAGCCTGTTTTGCTGTTTCCAAGTTAAGGTTAGCAGTGATTTGACTATGGGCCTCAGTATTCTAGAAGCTTTGTTCGCTTAATATTTGTGCCGATTGAAACACATTTCTTTCTTGAAGATCGAGATAACTAATGGAAAAAATCGTCTCTGATTCTTATAGATCAGATAAAATCTCAGGTATACAAACTAGTTTTCTTGACCTAAAGACAATCGGTCATGCCCTCTGTACAATTTTGAAGTCACTTAAGTAATCTTCAATTTCTACAGCCGTTAAAAGAATGTCAGTCATCCGTTCAGGAGGAAAGGAAGAAAGAAAGTTTATTTTATTCATTTAAACATAAACCTGCTACAGTGTGGGTACCAAGAGATGTGCCTGAATAAATTAATTAGACAATAATACAAGGAAAACAGAAACAAATTAAAGACAGTGTCAAGGAAACAGGTAAGCATTCTTACCAAGAGCATTCAGAGAGCTCATGGACCACTTGAACTGTTTTAAAACTGTCCCATTCACTTTTCCAGTCGCTTTCGTCGCGACTCAGCCACTGATTAAATGTCCCTTCATTTAGTATATATAACGTTTTATGACTGGTGTCTTTTATCAACCGGAAATGTTGTATGTTACGTTACTATCGACTTTCCTATTTCTAGATTTGCTGCTCATCATTCACGATCACTGCTTAGCGCCTCTTCTTATATTTAAAATAAGTACAAGTAGTTTTCTGTAGAGTTGTAGCAAATGTTCTTCATCTCTCAAAACTTGTCTTCGACATCGTTCTCAACATCTAATCTGAGCTATATTGGATTTGTGCAGGCTAAGACTATAAAATACATCAGTGTACCACTATTTTAGTTCTAAAGATACCATTTAGTTGGATGGCACATACAATTGTTAATTGGTGTGCAGCTGTGTATGGTACTTCTTCCCCACTCATTAATGCTACACTGAAACTTTCTAGGTCATAAAAACAGGATATTGCTTCATAGAATCCTTGGGTAAGTGGAGAGTCTTGGAATACATTTATTCCTCTTAATGAATTTGAACGAAGCAAGAACGACAGTTTTAGCAGAATAGAGTGGTACCATCTTTTATTTCGTTGCCTTCTCGTCAGCTGCTTACAGGGCAAAGACATTAAATATATACATATATATCTACATTTTAAACATTAAAATGAACTCTGTGCAAGTATGTTGAAATTCTTTTTGTAGATATATTTAATAATGTCTTTGCCCTGTAAGCAGCTGACGAGAAGGCAACGAAATAAAAGATGGTACCACTCTATTCTGCTAAAACTGTAGTTCTTGCTTTGTTCAAAGTCTTGAAATAAATGGATTAATAGTATTAGCCTAATAATCTGCAGGCTAATGCTCACTTATTTCAGTGTCAAGATACCAGTTTTTTTTCAGAAATCTATTCCTTATTATTATTATTATTATTATTATTATTATTATTATTATTACTGTATCCTTTAATTCCTAGAGGAACATAGGGCTTCAGCCGTGCGTCTCCATTGAGTTCGGTTCTCTGCTAGAGTCTTCACCTGGCTCCATGTCTGCCCACACGTTTTCATCTCCTCTTCACATGACCTCCTCCAAGTCACCCTTTCACTGACGACCAACTCGCCGCTTTCCTTTCGGGTTCCACTCGAGCAATGGCTTGTCTAGTGATGTCACTTGATGGTTTCCTCAGAGTATGGCTAATCCATCTCCATTTCTTCCTGCCTATTTGTTTCACAATCCGTTCCTGGTTGGTCTGTCTGTCTGTTTTCGACATAGAACTTTGCACATATGTGCGGCAGTTCAAGTCGCCACACTCCATGTAGCACACAAAAGAAGAGAAGAAAGTAGGAGAAATGCATAATATAGACAGTAAACAGAGGTGTGAGACAAAGGAGTAGTAATAACGAAGAACAAAACAGTTTCATCGGAAATCATAAGTCACAAGGAGTGGATGCATCTGCGCCACTGAGAACGATTTTGAGCCATGTCACCAATTGTTTCCAACCATTGGTTTTTACCGTCCCGAGGACCCCAACCAGGAAGTCTACATCTCCCTACGTGACTTAGACTAACTGTTGTGGATTTCATTGACTGGTGCCATGTTTTGGTTTGACCGCCGCTAGCTCTTTTCCAGCCTGGCCCTATATCAGCTAACATTGCCCGTCGAGGAAGGCGATGACTAGGCATACGTAACACATGTCCTAACCATCTCAGTCGATGTAATTTCACAGTCTCATCGATTGATTTCCCCGCCTTACCTAGCATTCGACGCCTAACCTCAACCTCCTGGTTGGTTCGCTCCCAGAGATCTCTGTTGCTGATCTTTTCTGCCTGGCCATCTGATCTTGAGTATTGAGCGAAGACAACTGTTAATGAAGGTCTGTAGTTTGTTTGAGATGCTCTTTATGACGCGCTGGCCAAGTCTCTGATTCGTATAGTAGCACTGACTTCACATTGGAGTTGAAAATCTGGGTCTTATTTTTGATGCTGAGTGCTGTTGACCTCCAAACAGACTTGAGAGTAGTGAAAGCTTGTCTTGCTTTTCCGATTCTTGCTTTGATATCCTCATCAGTTCCGCCTGTAGTTGAAACGATGCTTCCCAGGTAGGTAGTTGAAGGAGGTTGTTTCTTTCAGGTTCCTCCCATATATGCTGATTGTTGTCTGTTGTTGTTGTTGTTGCTGTTGGTGGTGTTGCCCAGGAATCTTCATCACCTCTGTCTTCTTTATGTTCACCTGAAGTCCTATCTTTGATGCTTCTTCTGCCAACTTGTTGCTTTTCGCTTGCATGTCTTCCAGTTTGTGGGAAATCAGACATACATCATCGGCGAAGTCGAGATCCTCCAAGTTTTTTGTGTGGGTCCATTTTATGCCTGTTTCCTCATTGCCCGCTGTTTGTCGCATTATCCAATCTACTTCAATCAGGAAAACCATTGGCGATAGTGGGCAGCCTTATCTTACTCCTGTCCTCACTTCGAAGGATTCCGTAAGTTTCCCGTTGTGGATTACTTGGCATGAAGCATCGTCGTACAGCTGTTGGATGATATGTATAATTGTCGGTGGCACCCCGTAGTAGCGAAGTAGTTTCCAAATCACCTCTCGATCGACGCTTTATCCTTATCAGACATGAAGTGTAGCTTCATTGGCTGATGTGTAGGGCAACTCAGATACATTTGGTGGTACTGCACTGTTTTTCAAAATAGAAATATGATGTGGTTCTGCACTTAATGTTAACTATAACGTTTAGTGGGTAATAACAGGAATTTTGCAGTGATACTAAACCTGAACTGTAGACGTACGTATATGAATCAAACAACGAATTCAGGCAATTAAACCACAGTTCCTAAAATATGTATTTATAAATGTATGATACAGTCAATGTCACATTTGCGAGAATCATCGAAAGAATTATGATGATACTTACAGTTATCTAAATATAATGAAGTACATGGGCCAGAGTATTCAACTTATGTATGTGTTGAGCTATATCTAAATAATCCTTAGTTACTTCACCTCTTCAAATTTGCTTTCTCGGTAGTTTTTCCATCTCTCTTACTTAGTTGTAGTTGTTCTCCATACACTGAGAAAATTTCAAATTGTGAACGCGTATTTTTTCCCTTCGTAATTAAATTTCTATTGGCGTCTGAAAATTTTATTTGATTAGTGTGCCTACGATGTTTCTCACTGTGTTAGTGTGAATAATCTTTTGCATTCGGCTCCCAATAGGATTAGTTTATTTGGTATATCATATGGATACAATACAAATAACTTGTATTAGTACTATATTAACGTCTGTTAAATCAGATGAACTTATCTTTTATGGAATTACATTCTGCCAACATGTACAGCTTCTGCTCTTACATCAGGTTCCTAATCTTAGTGACTATGCCTTCACTGAATACGCAGTAACTGCTTTTAAAGGAAATGACCTGTATTTTTGTATACAATGGTTGAGAACTTAGGTTCTGATTTCTGAATAGCAAAGGTGAATTGCCATTTACAGTAGTATGGAACGCGTTCTTTTGTCTACCTAGCTTTTTCACACTCATATATATATATATATATATATATATATATATATATATATATATATATGGAAATATTAAATAAATAATCCTTGTATCTTTCCTATTTTAGGTATATTGTACTTGGAGCTTTTAACGGATTAGTGAGAAGTTAATTTTAAAAATTTATTTTTCTCTACACTTAACATCTGTCCATAAAATACATGTCTGTGATCACGTGGGATCATGTCGATAATCCACAAACTTCACTAACAGAGAAACAACTAGAATCAGTATTCCTGCTGAACTCATTAAATTCAACCCATGGAGAAGTAACATAATCTCATGAATTCATTTACACTTAAATTGTATTAGGCATCTAGTGATCAGTCGGACAAGCGTCAAGATGGAAATAATACACAAGAGCATTTGTGTGTGCATTTAGCCTCTCATTTTTATTCGTGGCTATCGTCTGTTGAGCAAAATTTGAGCACTGAAACATCTGAAGTACCGAGGTAAAAACAGCTAAATTTTTTCTGATTCATCAATAATGAAAAGTGAATTTCTAAGCTTCATTTCGGGCAGAAAAGCTGAATGTCTGAAAGTTTTAAAAATTGTTGAAGAAATACTCTCAAAATTATCTGTTTTGGAAAACAATTACTTGAGTATTTCACAAACTACTAATGAGCTACATGAATTATGCGAACATCTACTAAGACAACAGGTGAGTTTTCATATTGTGTTACTTCATACATTCATTGTCTTTTTCTCTCAAGTAGAATGAAATGGTTGAATATGCCGGTTCAATTGAAGAATGTTTGGTCAATTTTGTTCAGGTGGATATGATTAGGACTGTGGGTTAATAGTTAGTTATACGCTAACCTACCTCTTGCCATTAGGAACTTGGAGTAACTAATTTCGTTGTTTCTCGAGAGAAGTTGTTACCAATTTTAAACAAGCTGGATTCAAGTTTAATTTACTTTCGGGATCATGTATGTGGCATATTGCTTTCTTAATTTAAACAAAAAATATACATTTAGCCACATTTTAAAGAATCTCCAAACTATTTAGCTAAAGTGAAATCTGCACTGAAATTAGCTCTTGGACTTATTAAAACCACTGTAACAAATACCATCGAAAGAACAATAAATGAGCTTCTGGATTTACATGTAAGACTGTCTTATGTAAATCGTTTATAAATGCATCTACATGTTTATAGGATGTTATCAGTCCTGAAAATTCATTTATTTTACTGTATGGAAGATTCCGTTCACATGGACCAAAAATACGGTCTTTAATGACGTTACTCGAAGAAAGAGTGCATGTAACTGATGAGTAAGTTTACTCAGTGTTGCATATATATTCTATTTCTATTTTTTTTAATTTTTTAATTTACAGCTTGATTCCACACCGTATTTTCAGTACAAGTGTGGAATTTTCAGCATGGATATCGGTAGCCCAAATTCAGGCCGACCATAGATATCGGGTGTGCGCCGGCAGGGGATCGAACCCCGGACCATGTGCATGGTCGGCGAGAGTCCTAACCACTGTGCCACCGACACACATATATAATTATTACCTTTATTGCCTCAATGATAATTACATTATGGAGAATCACTCCAGATTGTAATACAAAACTGACTGACAAATCAACGTAGACCTTAACACTGAACTTATCACATTTCGAGTTAGCACACATAAAAGAAGAGAACAGATGTAGAGATGACACCACAAACTGAAATGCAAAATAACCACTTAACAGACATTAATGATGTTAAGAATTTAGACTTTAGACAGCATTTAATAGCTCTAGTTACGTTTGCATTGATAGTTAAGAATGAAATGGTCTCAGGCTGAATTCTTCTCACAGTTCATCTATTTTTTGTTAGCGACTTTAAAGTGTCTTCCTGTCTACTAATACAACAGAATAGTATCATTTTTTGCTTGTTTTGTCATTCGTTTTACACATGTGAGTTACCTTTTCAAGGCAGATGTCGGTTAGTTTGCTCCTAGCATTCTAAATATCACATATAGGACTCCATTTTTAGATATCAAAGTAAAGTGAATAAAAGGACGTGTATCTGAATTATTTGACATATGCTTAAACGTTTCTCTGCTCCTATCTTAGTGCGATAGACGCATTCAAGAAACCATCATTTTATGAATACATTTCACCGCTTTCAATTGTTAGTCTAATGATCATGTTCCGTCTTGGTACTGGTACCTATATTTCGCTTGTTTTAATTGAAAGACTTATAAATGAATTCTATGACATATCCAGTTTACGCCATCTCTGGCGTATGCCGGCTGGCTATCGACTAAAGGGTGTGTATACCGCTGAGCAGTTCGCTCTGTCCTCCTTTATGGCTGTGACACCTGGCCATTGAAAGTGGAAGACAGTGAAAACCAACCTGGCTAGCTGTCGTTGATCATGGGTGTCTCCTTTCTATGTTCCGTATAAAGTGGTATAGTAGGGTGAGTGAAATTGAGTTTATGCATCGGTCGAGTGCTAGGTAAGGAGGGAGGGGAAATCAGTCGACGAGGCTGTGAAGTTACATCGATTAAGATGATTAGGACATGTGTTACGTATGCCTAACCATCCATCCATCGCCTTCCTCGATGGGGAATGTTAGCTGCCATAGAATAGATCAGGTTGGAGAAGAGCCAGTGATGGTCAAACGAAAACATGGCTTCATGAGTCAATGAAATTCACAAGAGTTAGTTTCAGGAAGCCAGCTAGCCAGCCACGTAGGGAGGTGTAGACTTCCTAGTTGTCTGGTTGGGGTCATCGGGGTGGTAAGAACCAATGAAGGCTGGAGACGATTGATGATATGGCTGAAAATCGTCGTTGTCAATAGCTCAGATGCATCGAGTGCTTGTGACTTATCATATCCAACGATAAAACAATATTGTTTTTCGATATGACTATTCTTTCTGCCTCATATGTCTGTTTATTATATCTGTTTTGAATCTTCCTTCACTCTCTTTTCTTACTTTGTGTGCTACAATGCATGAGGTGTGGTGTGTGTCGAACTGTTGAGCATCGTAGCAAAGTTCTACGTTGAAACCAGTCAGTCAGTCATGAGATATCCATTAACCACAAGTCCTTTTTGAATTTCTCTCAATTCATTTGCCATTCGCTCTTTGCACATAATCAAGTTATTTGTGGAAACAAGAGCCTAACTAAACTTCGTTTGTATGAAATTGAACGAACGGGCTGTGAAATACTAATTATTAACTTGTCTTTTTTCTTTTTAATATTCATGTTGATTTTATCATTAAGCTATATGTAATAACTTGTTTTTGACAATGACATCTTTAACTATCTAAGTAAATGTGGCATGTATGCGGCAGATTTAGAGTACACGAAATGAAATGAACTATATTCATTCCACAGTGTTTGTTCTTATTTCACAAAAATTTATAAAGGTAAATTATTAATTTGTGTGAGATTTTTCTGGCTTCTATTATTCCAATCAGCATCTTTATTAAATAATTGTTCAAAGTTTAAAATTCTTTCCACTTTTACTCAAGATATGCACAGGTTATGCAGGAATGTCATAAATTTTATCTGCATCATCGAGAAGAACTTTTAACACCAGTTGCACAAAACGGAGTTTCAGAGTTAGTTCAGAAATATCCTGGTGATCATTGTGCTCTACTGCGTACTGCTGGAGCATTTATGTTACATATGTGTGAAGATGAAATGCGTTTGTTCAACCAGTTCTTTTCTTCTCAATTCGCAAAATCTATCAAGTAAGCATATATATATATATAGTTGATATCATATTTTGTCGATTGACTTTATCATACAATCGATAGTTCAGAATGAAGGTTGCGTGTTTGTTTATTAAGTCAGTAATCAGTTTGTTGATTAGTAACCTACCCTAAGTGGTCTAGTGGATTGGATAACGCTTTAGTGTGTCCGTGGTTCAGCGGTAGGACGCTCACCAACCACACATGTGGGCCAGGATTCAATCCCCAGCCACTGACACACTCCTCGACCTCAGTAATCCGTTAATAAGGCCGGTAAAGAGGGAAGGTTGGACGTGAGGCTAGCAATCGCCCTGTGTAAAAGTAAAAATCACTACTACTGGAACTTCAGAATTCAAGCGTGAAGCCCTTTGTTCCACTGGGAACGTAAAGGAATAAAATAAATAATAATTATAAACCTAGTATGAGTTAAATTACATCAGTCGCAATAGAACAGAGTTTTAAGGAAGGAATATTTGAAGTAAAAAGCTTTACATTTTTTTTTGTTAATTACAAATAGTCACAAACTAGATTAATAGTTTTTCATATATTGAAATTTTGTATAAGAATAGACTTCTCACTTATTATCTAAATTAGCGATAAAAAGAGTATCATACAGGTAAATTTTTTGACGCCATACTCCTTGTGACTTATGATTTCCGATGAAACTGTTCGTTCTTCGTTATTACTACTCCTTTGTCTCACACCTCTGTTTACTGTCTATATTATGCATTTCTCCTACTTTCTTCTCTTCCTTTGTGTGCTACATGGAGTGTGGCGACTTGAACTGCCGCACATCAGTGCAAAGTTCTATGTCGAAAATAGACAGACAGACAGACAGTTGCATAAATACAAGTAAAACACAATAAATTAGATGCAGTATGCAGATGGAAGTTTATTTAGCCTTTTCATCAAACAGGCTGCCTGCTGCTGCTGCTGCTTATCTTGAGAACCCCCTATCAATAGTCACTGGCGATTTCAATTCCTGCGCCTATTCTTTCTATGAATCACTAGGTCATGTTAACATTGCCAACTTTATTACTCTGTAAAGAAGAAAAGACCGATGAGGCTCGAAGGAATGTTTACTAGGACAAGCATATATATATGTGGTGAGAGCTGTCTACTAGCCAAATTGGTAGACAGTAATTTACGTCCATACTTACGTTCCCAAGATTTGTCGTGAGAAAATGTGAAGAAAGATTGATTCAAAACCGACCACAGCAGACTTTGCGTAGGCGGATGCAGTTAACATATAGAGGATTTGACATTCAAGAAACAGTCACAAATAGATGAAAGATTGACTTTACGTGAGAAACAACCAATCGGAAGACTGTGTTTGTTTGCTTGAATATCCATAGTAATGTACATGAAAACATATATAAATATGCGTTGATTTCCTTAATAAAGGATCTGTTGCCTGACTCTTGCCTTCTGTCGTTACATACATACATTTGGTATACCTTATCTGCGATGCATTAGTTGCACACCTTTTGTAAATTGGTCGAATGTCACCACATTCGATAGCTTGTTGAGTTCCGCACAGTGTTTGTAACGTTCTTCTCTCAGTTCTCTTCTTCGATTGCCTTTTTCTAGTGTCCAAAACATATTGTTACTTTTCTGAATTTGTTTACTGATATACTACTTACGTCTGATTATAAGTAGCAATCACCACAACTCGACAAAACACTTGATTCAATGTTCACGAATAACGCTGGCAAATATTGAAGTACTAAAACGTGCTGCAATACTGATTTCTTATCATTGCATTATTCGAGTGTTGCCTAATTTTATGGCAAGTCGTACACAATTATCTTTTCTCACCTTTGTGAAAAAAACGTAACAGAGATGCTAATCACAGAGCAATACACATAACCTTAGATGCATTTTGAATGACATTAACTGGGAACTATTTACTAAGCATATATTGGATGGTATAATCACTAATATAACAGATTATCTTTAATTCTTCCCCATATATCTGTCGCCCGATACAAACACTGTTCCAAAAGACTTGGCTGTTTCTCTTCTCCTCATCTCAAAATGCTACGTAGAGAAAAAGAACGGTTATATAAGTATAAAGATAAATCTGGTCTAAAAAGGATTAACATCTTAATTAGATCTGAAATCCAAAGTCTGAGTACTATTTCTAACCAAAGACTTATCATGTAGAACTAACTCTCAACCATTTGGAAACTTTTCAATGAAATTACTGGCGGTGGTAAGCAAAGTATTATTGTTCCCTCTGTTGATGTAAATACTCTTATCTAGACTTTCATACACTCTCCCACTGACGTTTCCATTCTTAATGCCACCAATCAAAAGGTCAGTGGCTTCCATGGTTTTAACACTCTTTATGTTCTCAAATGTCTCACATCTCCGAAACCTTCGAAAGCCTTGATTCTGATGGTGTACCTGCTGTTATCCTCAGAATATGTGTCAATATGTTATCCTCCTACAGGCATTTTCAGTGCTTCTTTTGCCAGTAACATTGTACCCGTAGCATGGAAAAACATTAAAATTATCCCGGTGTCGAAGTCATGTTGTGGTATTAGTGTTAAGTTTAGAAATATTGCAGTTAACTCTCATTCTTTGAAATTTATGGAGAAACTACTTTTGCTCGACCTTGAACCTTCCTTGAAAAGTTTTAATAGCCTCAAACGATTTGCTTATAAACAGGAAAGAAGTACTTTAGGTTCTGCTGCTGTCTTACATCATAATATTGTTTTCTTCATAGACAAAGGAGTCAAATGCATCTTATGCACCTTCCCTGATTACACATCCGTTGTTGACTCTATACCCAGATGCTTTTTGTTAAATAAGCTTTCCCTGACACAAGCCGAATTCTAGGCTGTCAACTAGCTGCATACTTATTTCTCCAGCAGAATGCAGTATACTGTATATAAATGCAAATCTTCCTCTACCTTGCTTACTGAGGCTGGAGTCCCTCAAAATGCTGTTCTCTTTCCTCTTCTTTTTTCTTTCTTATATGACTTATCTCTATGAGGAAAACCTAGTTAAATATGCTGGTGATCTGACTGTCTCGTTGCCAGTTACGTTCCGATCTGACTGTCCTAAAATTAATAGCTTTTTGTCGGACGTCAACCAGTGGTCAATCAATCATTTTGCACGCTGTGGGCAGCCGGGAGGTAACAACCACCCACACACTTCCAAAAGCACACGAAGCCCTTCTGAGCATCATTCTCCTTTACCCACATCACCTTCATCATCTTACTTCCCTACTACAGTCAGTACTATTCTGCTGGCTAGTGAGTTAGTCTCACTTCACTCTGTGACCACAAACAACGATAAAAGCCATAGTAACATCCCCTGACAGCCTCTTAAAGCCGCGTCGCCAACTTCATATAGGAGCCTTCGTCGTCAGGACCCTCTGCCAAATCGGAGAGCAGGCATTACTAGCAAACATTTTGGCATCTCGAGCCATGGATGTATGGTGTGTTTCGGAGACACGCAGACAAGACCCGAGTGCGGTCATTCACTTAACCCCACCAGGCTAACAATGTGAATCTGCAAAATTCACTTTAGTGGTGTTAGGAGACTCCTCAGCTGGTTCTCAAGGACTTACAGGTGTAGGGATAGCTTTGAGTGTTAGGGCGGAAAAATCCCCTCTTGACTTGATCCCAGTAGATAGCCGTATATGTGCGGTCCGTCTGAACAGGTCCGTTAGAAGTAGGAAGGACGGTGTTACCCATCGTTGTCTTCTCGTGGTCTCCGCTTACGCCCAAAGGGACTGCAGTTCGGATGAACTAAAGGACGCCTTCTACCTGAAGCTGTCTAGTTTGCTGCAAAAAGCAAAACGTTCAGATATAATTGTTTCAGCAGGCGACTTCAATGCCCAAGTAGGGAAGTTGTGCCAGACTAAGAAGTATATAGGTGGTACTTTAGGCATCACCTAGCGACCTGCATCACCAAATCAACGCTGGACTCAGATAGGCCACATTGCGATAGGATATCGCTGGTCAGGGTCAGTAGAAGACTGCTGCTCCTTCTGGAACACCTGTGTAGACTCTAATTTCGCCTTATTTCGCGCACGTTTATGCTTACGACTAAACGGACATAAAAAATTGCTGACAGCTAAACAGTTACGTCCCTAACTAGATCGAAACTCTGAGTCCCTATTTAAGGGGGAAAGGGTTAAACGAGTATCTGAGGTCGACAGGAGGACTCCCCCTGAGGTAGCCTGGTACAACATACAGTTAGCTGTAGACACAGCTGTAAAAGCTTTTAATAACCCGAAACCTAAAGTTAGTAAGAGCCATTGGATTTCTACCATCTCATCCGAACTGATTGACGCAAGAAGGCTGATTCTGGTGAGGTCCGATTGTGATGAGGAGTGAAAGCTGCTTAAATACAAGCCAACAAGAAGTCTTCGTAACGACCGTGAACAGTGGTGGGCGACGAAAGAGATGGAAAAGGCATCAGCGATTGGTAACAGCAAACAACTATTTAGGCTTATCAGGGAAACAGGTGGTAAAAGGCAAACGATAAGTGAAACAATCTCTGAGAAAAGTGGCACCATAATTAACTCCCAGGATAGATGACTGGAACATTGGAAAGAACACTCTGAGGAGCGATTCAATTGGGATACAGCCACGTTCAACTTACTCAGCATCCAACACCTCCCTGAATGGGATACAGACACAAGTCCTCCATCCTTAACTGAGGTTACTAAAGCTGTCACTAATCTGAAGCAAGGCAAAGCAGCGGGACCTGATGAAATGACTCCAGAGGTATTTAAGTACGGTGGAGACACTTAACTGTCGGCATTAACTGAGGTATTAGGCATAGTCTGGGAATCAGAGAAAGTCCCGTCGGGCTGGTGTAAGTCATTGATTATTCCGATATACAAGAAGAGAGGCAAGTCTTCCTGTGATAATCACAGAACGATATGCTTGACCAATATGATGTCTAAGGTTCTAGGCTCGATAATAATGCGTAGACTAAGTGGTACTCAGGAGGAACAAACACGAGAGAATCAGGCAGGCTTTAGACCAGGAAGAGGATGCATTGATCATATCTTCACCCTTTGACAAATACTGGAACATAGGCATACTCACAGGCGTCCAACAATCGTTATATTTCTTGACCTAAAGGCAGCATTCGATTCTATCGACCGACAGGTATTATGGCGATGTGTGGCTGTGAAGTGAATGCCGATAAAACACTTTGCAGTGATCAAGGCACTCACTCTACTCGAATACATGCTGTCAGGCGAGTTGTAATCTGAAGTGGTGACAACTAGTGGCGTCCGTCAATGGTGCCTACTATCCCCATTTCTACTTAATTTCATAGTAGATGTATTAATGGACTTAACCTTAACTAACTTCAGTGACTCAGAGATTGACTTGTTACTAGGGTATAATCTCAGAAAACACTAATAATTGCAAATCATCCACCTGAGCTACAAATCTTCTCTAATATTTCAAGGGTATAATCTCGTTGACTGAGAATATGCGAATGATGTAGTCCTGCTAGGTGAATACGCTGACAAAGTTCAGAGTCTTCTGAAAACCTTCAGCAAACATCTTCGAATTTTCGGCATGCGACTCGCTCCTGTCAAATGTAAGATGATGCTACAAGACTGGACTACATTGACTCCTAGCTTAAATATAGGAAGGGAGTGAAGTGGTAGAAAGTGTTGGCCACTTCATTTATTTGGGGAATTGCATCAGCCATCGCGAGTGGGTTGATCACTGACTAAATCTCAGCACGGATACAGAAGGCTCTTTTCGCAAATGCCAGTTTACGGCCACCTCTGGCTTAGTAGACGTGATATCCGGCTGGCTGTTGACGGAAGGACGTGTGTACTGCTGAGCAGTTCGCTCCGTCCTCCTTTATGACTGTGACACCTGGTCATTGAAAGTGGAAGACAGTGAAAACCAACCTGGCTAGCTGTCGTTGATCATGGGTGTCTGCTTTCTATGTTCCGTATAAAGTGGTATAGTAGGGTGAGTGAAATTGAGTTTATGCATCGGTCGAGTGCTAGGTAAGGAGGGAGGGGAAATCAGTCGACGAGGCTGTGAAGTTACATCGATTGAGATGTTTAGGACATGTGTTACGTATGCCTAACCATCCATCCATCGCCTTCCTCGATGGGGAATGTTAGCTGCCATAGAATAGATCAGGTTGGAGAAGAGCCAGTGATGGTCAAACGAAAACATGGCTTCATGAGTCAATGAAATTCACAAGAGTTAGTTTCAGGAAGCCAGCTAGCCAGCCACGTAGGGAGGTGTAGACTTCCTAGTTGTCTGGTTGGGGTCATCGGGATGGTGGGACCCAATGAAGGCTGGAGACGATTGATGATATGGCTGAAAATCGTCGTTGTCAATAGCTCAGATGCATCGAGTGCTTGTGACTTATCATATCCAACGATAAAACAATATTGTTTTTCGATATGACTATTCTTTCTGCCTCATATGTCTGTTTATTATATCTGTTTTGAATCTTCCTTCACTCTCTTTTCCTACTTTGTGTGCTACAATGCATGAGGTGTGTTGACTCGAACTGTTGAGCATCGTAGCAAAGTTCTACGTTGAAACCAGTCAGTCAGTCAATTGGTCTTACCTCAAATCCCTGTAACTATCGGACAGTTGACTTCATCTTCAGGAATAAATTCTATCTGCAAGAACTGGTTCATTTACAAGAAGTTTGTGGCTTAGAGGGTACTGGAATAGAAACTAAGTCAAGCGAGAAATACCTTGGAAATTGTTCTATCCTCTGAAGTTTCTCAGTCATCCCATATCTCTTCTATTTCCTAGGAAGTGTTCTGTCCAACCTACTGCGTTTAAAAGTTAAGACAATCAGGAATCAATCGTTGTTAGTGGTGAATTGTGCGTTGAATGCTTATCTCATTCGTGAATCTGCATCATATAAGCTTGATATCCTAACAGCAAAGTTATTTTTCAAGTATTGGTTTTGTAGGGATTTGTGGTTCTCTAACTGACGTCAGCTCACGAGGAAATCCTCCATCCACAGTTATTTTTTATCCATAAAATATCTGCACAAAAAATAGACTGACTCTACGACTGGAGTGTACTTGTAGGAGATTTTCGCACACAATTTTGCTAGAAACATTTGATGCTTTCGATAATTTCATATTCTGTATTATAAAATGTTTCTAATATGAATGGTGTTTTTTGTTCAATACATAGTGAAATTTAACATTTTTAAGTGTTAAAAGTAAATATTACAGATTTTCGTTTTACTTTTCTGCCATATTTTTAGTCAGATGTTGTCCAAATTATGCAGATGTTTATATGACGCTATTAGACCGCTTATAATTCACATTAATCATGTAGAAATTCTCTCTGAATTATGTGATATATTAAAGTATGAATTAATTCATCGTGATGATCCTAATACCACAATTACTAGTACTAGTAAGCTAATTAAATTTGTATTAATATATATATATATATATATATATATATATATAATGTTATTTATGTGTTGTATACCATTCTATTTGTTTAAAAGATATGTGCGGTCATTCCACGTCCCTATGCTTATTTTTGCTTTCATCGAAAGAAGACACATATCGACTGACTGGCTTCTCAAAAGCTCTCACCAGTCTGCGTCATTCTGTCTCTCCGATTCCAAAGAAGAATAAGCTAACTTATTATGCTTTTTCTGTGCTTTGAATTTTCTGTAGCGATTGGATTGATTTTCCGGGTTAGAGTCGCTAGCCCCACGCTCAAACCCCCCGCCCTCTTATTTGGGCTTAAGACCCGTTAGTGAACCAGGAAATCTTCTGCAATCAGCCTAGAGAACAACATTCGGTTTTTTTCAACGCTAGTGTCAGAGAGAATTGGCGTGTCATGAAATGCATTTCCAACAGACTGAAGACTTTTACTGCCAGCTGCCTTCACTCGCGACTCATGATTAGATGACCAGAAATAGTTACCAACTAGGGACTTTGGTGATCAACCAACTAAGAAAATATTGCCCAACAAATATGCCGAGAGAGAGAGAGAGGGGGAGAGAGTGACATGGAGAAGATTGTATGAAAAGGAGATGAAAGCTTATGGACAATCGTGGTGTCTGCTTAAGAGAACTGCAGAGAACAAAGCAGATTGGAGATATGATGCTGAAGCCACCTGTGCCATTCGGAACCCAAGGGAATAGTAGTAATAATAAAGGACATATTCTCCTCTTATGGACACACTAGTGGTACTTCCTTTCTATTTTGGTTTAAACGCCATTTAATGATAACGATAATAATAGTAGTAATAATATACACACTGTTTTCAATTGTTGAAAATAAATAGTTCCATTGACACCTGAATAGTTTAGTGATAAAGATACTGACTATAACACGGAGTTTTGCACAGGTTCAAACCACTTGTGTTTGTTCAGCTTGTTGCCGAGAGTGTCAGTTGACGTAAAACCTAGATCAACTAGGGTTTGCTGTCAGCTGATTTTTAACATTTTGCATTAGGACTATAGGCGTGATGTCATTTAGCCTTTGTGATGACTACAAAGTGTATGTGGTTCCTAAGTTTCAGTAAATATATATATATATATATATATATATATATAGACACACGCTTAAAATGAAACAACAACCAAATAATATATCCATATTTAGCAGTAATAGACTCCATTACACCAAATTTAGTTAACATCCGAAGATTTCCTAAAGTTATTTAATTTTTGATTATAGCTTGATTCCACACCGTATTTTTGGTACTAGTATGGAATTTTCAGTGTATGGTATCTGTAATTCAAATTTCGCAGGCCGACCATTGATATCAAATGTGCGTCGGCAGGGGATCGAACCCAGGACCATGTACATAGTCGGCGACAGTTCTAACCCCTGAGCCACCGACGCATATTGGCAGTTAATTGACCTCATCATTTCGCAGATTTGAAGAAATAGTATTTGCATTCGCTACTGTTTTCACATACTCAATAAGCGATATTGTAGATCAACAAATTTAAATGGTTAAGCAGTGTTTCTATGAACAGAAATCAAGTAATCGATCGATGTGCGAAATCCCTAAAAAAAAACTTAAAGAATGGCTGACTGGTTTCAACTTTGCACAGATGTCCAGCAGTTTGAGTTGCTACACTCCATGTAGCACACAACGCAAGAGAAAAGAGTAAATAGAGGTTTACAAAAGAGAGACTAAAGAGAAGTGTGAATGAAAAATAATAGTAATATGGAAGAACAATATACTCCTATTGGGTATGACAAATCACAAAGGGTGAATGCACGTGAGCCATTGAGAACAATTTTGAGCCACATCACCAATTGTCTCCAGCCTTCATTGGTTCTCACCATCTCGACGAACAAACCAGCCAACTAGGATGTCTACGCCTCCCTACGTGACTGGCTGGCTGGCTGGCTGCCTGAAACTAACTCTTGTGGATTTCATTGACTGATGAAACCATGTTTTGCTGTGACCACCACTAGCTCTTTTCCTCAAAGTTTGCATGAAGTGTCAACCTACACGAATTCACTAACTACATGTATGTGTGTCTTTAACACCTGGCTGATTGCTTTCAAAGTTCTGTGTTGAAACCAGTCAATGAGTCAGGCGCCATCAATATCCAGAAGACAAAATATATAAAAATCACAGGATTGTTTCGAAACCACAAGGCAGTCAAATAATAATAATAATAATAATAGGTGGAACGAAGTAGAAGACATTGCACAAAAGTCCATGTAATTGGTTTAGAAGTTATGAAAATATGTGAAGAGGGTAGACTCCATAGAAAATTAGAAGGCAGTGGTTTGGACTAGCCAATTTCCCTCAATGTTCCTTATTCAACCTGAATTACAACTTTGTCAAGGATTTTAGGAAAGTACATTATACTACTCACCAATAAAAAGTAGCTTTCAAAAAAGCACGAAAATGCAGAATGGCGTTAAGAATTTACGCTATTATTATTATTATTATTGAAAAGACTAACTTGATACACTTTGTGCACCAAGATATTTACCAGACATATTGCTTAATCTACGGCTTGATGGGTCAATAAAAACATCTATTTATGGGAAACCTATCTGGACAGGACAGTATCTTAATTATCACAGTTTCTGCCCTGTTCGGTACAAAAGAGCCTTAGTAAGGTGTCTCTTCAGTAGAATCCAACGAATATGCACTGAAGACACACTTGATGAAGAAGAAAGAAAGTTGACACAAACTCTGGTTGATAACAATTATCCAGACAAGTTCATCAGGAGATATAAAGTAGTCAGAACACCAAGACCCACTCTCCAACTCGCCCCTAAGAAAGACGTGTACATCAAGCTACCCTATATGGGGCATCAAAGCAGCTTGATAACTAGACAAAGACTGAACGCTACTGTTAGAAAGACTTTATGCAGCTAATATGATTATATTTGAGAATGTAAAGCCAATATATCTATCTAAGCCATTCGAACATGCGAAAAATGACGTCATATCCCAGTGTATTTACCAATTTGAATGTACGTGTGCACATACATACATAGGGAGGACTCATCGATTTCTGCAAGTAAGGGCTTCAGAACATATGGTGGCAGAAACAAATGGAATCTTCAGAACCTATTAACAGTGAGAACAGGAGACCTAGCTCTTCTATTGCGAAACATGTTGTAGAGATAGGACATAAAATTGACGTTAACAGATCTTTTAAACCTATCTATAAAACGTGTTTGGGGCGTGTCCTAAAGTTTGTGGAAGGCCTAGCAATTAAAAGGTTTAAACCACCTATATGCGTTCAAAAACAATTCGTCATCACATTAAACCTTCCTTGGTAAATTTTGTTTTGATACCATAGCAGATGTACTATTACCTCTGTTATTTGGTTGAGTGCTCTTCATTGTTATTTTGACCTTGAATATGTCCTTTTAACTTGACCTAAGTCTATTTCTCATCTCTTACCTCTTTAATAATTTCATATATATTCCTATGACAAGTCCGTGTGTGATCAGATTGTTCGAAATATGTTGCGCAAATGCATTACACGATTCAGATAAATAACGTCTTCTTATTGCTTTATCTAAAAACAAAATAACACCAAAATGTAAAAAAAACAGATACAGAATAAAATTGCTCCAGACAGCATGTAAGCATAGAAAGAACTTTTAGCTCAGGTGGATGATTTGCTTGGACTAGTTGTGTTCTCCGAGCTAATTGGTTGGTTACCAGGAGACGCAACGCTGTCATTCATGGAGAATTTAAATCAGTTGATTTTATACTAAAACTTGCACTGAAGATGTTGTCCAGAAGGACGACGAAAGCTCCGCAGTTAAACCAACAACTAATTGCAAAGCACGCAAGCATACTTGTCAATATCATTGAAAAGATGGAGCATTCATTACTTACGATTACTTTCAGAAAGGGAAAAAGGGGCGAAATTACGGCAAATTCACCATTGATTGCGATTTTCGACCATATCTGATTGCTTCTCAAGGCACTGATTCGAATTATCTCCAGGACACCACTTAAGAGGTCTTGATGCACTGACTGATGTTAAGCTAACACAAATATCCTTCATATTAACAACAATTCAATATGTAATTACCTACATTATTGAAAACATTTGTTGCAGTTTTCTTTCACTTTTATTACAATGCTCATTAATACGTATGTACACTTTTTCCTCTCAAAAGCACCGGATATGTTAGCATTTTCCGACCTTTGTGCAGTGCTGTTGGCTGATATTCAAGAGAGATTAATCTTTCGTGCTCATATCTATGTTAAGTCACAAATCCTCGGCTTTATTCCAAGTCCCGGAGATCTATCATATCCAGAAAAATTAGAAATGATGGATGTAAGTTCCAGTCACATTTTATGGCCATGTATCTGTTCGAATTGTTTCGTGAGCTTCATTTTCTTTGTTGATTTATCCAGGAGAGATTCCATCCAAATGAGTGTCCAGGCAATAAAGTAGGAAACAATATATACTACTGGTCGATTCAGGTGAGTAGTTGCATGCCATTCACATCAACCAACCAGCAGTGCTTGCTTGCCAGATTCGGCTGTCTGAGCTGAGTGAAACCACGTACACCGCTGATGAGCTGAGCCCCAAACGAGCGAGTCTGGTGTTTCGATCACCTCGATGTGGCTGGCAAGCACGGCTGGTTGATATGAGTCGTATGCAACTACTCATCTCAATCAGTCAGTAGTATACACTTGTATGCAAATTTTCTTGCTCTCTTGATCACGATTTATGGCATCAAGCAGATCACATATTTTGATCGGAATAACTTGATTTCCGAAGGGAACTGCGGTTTAATTGCACCGCACGAACTGTGTAAATTGTAAATTACCAACCAATTGGCAAATTTTGAATTTGATTTACAATGTAGTAGACTTCAGTGCTCATTATCCTAACAAATCCTTTTTGCTGCTTGTCAAACTTTGATGTATTAACTTATTTGCTGTATAACAAGGATCTAGTGCTCTATTAATAGTCCCTGCTCGATGTATACACCGGTGTCGCTTTAAATAACTCAAAGAGAATATTCGTTGCATCTGAACATTTCTCGTGTTACGATGTAATGTAGCTAAATCGTTATGCTTAACTTATATATCTATCATAATATTTGTCATAGAAGCTGTGTCGAGGATTTAACTGCATACCGATGTCTTAGGTCTCATAGTGAATACTACTCAGGGCACAGTATAGGCTTTCCTAAAGTTGAAATGCACGTAACTTGTCTTAAAGCTCTATTTGCACATGACACACAAAAGTAATAGTTACTTAACAGCAGAAAATGCAGAACAAATGTCGTTCAAGGAAAGGCAGTTAGATACACAACAGTGCTAACGTGTGGAACAAGCTATCTAATGAGTTACATTCACATGCATGTTAGTTGAGGTAATTAACAAATGTACACAGTTAGTTGTAAGTGCTAGGATGTTTACATAGGCGTAACTAGCGACCACGTGACGGATTAGGTCGACCATCACGTCGAAATTCTCCCACTTAAGTGACCAAATAATCCACCTTCTCTAACAGACAATTTTGTTATGCCTAGATCAGTGTCTTGAGTTAAAATCTTCAAGCTGTATGTGTTGACTTGGGTGTCTTTATCATAATACACCTGCTTAACTGTAGGTTTCGGTGACAGATATTTGGGTGTGTTGCTTTTCTTAACTAACCCTAGAACTCTGAGTTAGTGTCAGTGTCAATTAGTGTATTCTTCAGAAGAGCGATCTCTTCAGCGATTTTTTGTTACGTCGGAGTTGTTTGAGCGGATCTCTACATTATTCAGTCAAGTAGTTGTGGTTCTTAGACTTTGTATTGGGATACTGGGGGCTGGAGTCTATGAGTGTGAACTTGATACGTTTGAACTCCTGTGAGTAATTCTGAACATGAGCGACCCAAATGAAGGACCTGAGTCAACGGACGCAATGACCATGATCAGTCAGTCAGATGAACACGTAGTAAACACGCGTAATTTAATAAACTTTTACAGACATCAGTGTTCAAAAAATAGTCTTACAGAGTATGTGTCCCAAGGAAACCTCCTAATTCCTTATTGAAGTCTTCTGTGATAGTCCAAACCTATTTCGTCCTTATAGTTGTGTATCATGCTGTTTCGTTCAGGGTCATTTGGCTGTGGTACCTTTTTCCTATTGTGGCCATCACAGAATAGATAGAGTTTGACAGTTTGCCGTAACATGCATAACTGATGGTGGTTGATGTATTTCTCCTTTTATCTGCTGAAATAGACTAAAAGATGAGACACTAATCTAAGGAGTAGCTTGTCAAACTGAACTATATTCAATGGAGTGGGAAAAACAAACCGGTAACCATGACACTTAAAGAAGGTGCGAATGAGTAATACTGTCAGTTATAACTTGAAACTGGTTTTCCTTGTAATAGTCTGATAATTCTACCCAGTAACCCAAGTTGAATTCATGGGGGAGGGCGAATCGAATTACAGATCCGTTTACTGAAAAGTGAGCACCTGAGTCAATGAGCCACATCTCTACTTTCAGGGTCCACTGGCGAAAGGTACCAAAAAATGCATCGGTGGATAAGCATCATATATAGAAGGCTTAAAGAAGTGACCAGCCACGAGAGAGAAATTTCCGGATTGCATAAATTAGTGTTTACCAACTTCAAGTTATCTCAGACACTGCAAATGAAGCAGTTTTACAAATTTTCATCGTTTGTAGTAGTTTTAACATATATTACACACTCCTAGTTACTGCCTTCTTACAGTTGCAGTCAAACGAACTTAGGGGTGTTCAATTGGGTATTTCATTGTTATTTTGAGCCATATATGGAGGCGTGGGTTGTGTGTCTGGATTCTCCAGGAATCTAAGAGTTAATGATTTAAGGTTTCTTATGCTCTGGCTAAATTAACCTCAGGTGTATTCACTCCTCATTTTAAAAATTCCGAAGATTTTCACTATTCCATTGACACTCACGTTTGTTCACCAATGCTACTATTGCTCTTCTGATCCCTTTTGATCTATTCCACAGCTTGAATTGAAGCACTTGCGTACAGAGATGTGCGTTGTCTTCCTATGTGTATTCAATATTTTTTTCAATTTTACCATCTTTAATGTATATACTTACAGGACATAGCAAAAAGTACTGCGAAACCTGTAGATCCAAGCGATTCATCGGATAAAGTAAAAGAGCCTACTGAGATGTCTGACTCCACTCAGACATCGCCTACATCATCAGAAACAGTTGCAGAAGCTCAGCCTACATCTTCTGATTTGGCAGTTCAACCAGGACCTAACATGTCTCTTGCTCCAGCGGATTTACATGGTATGTGGTATCCAACAGTTCGACGTACCTTGGTATGTCTCTCAAAGCTCAGTCGCTGTTTAGAAGTAAGCACCTGATATCCCTAACTAATTACTTAATACTTATATAAAAATAAAATTTTATTTGAAGATATGACGAGAATTAGGGATAGGTGTAAGTTATAAAGATTCAGTTATGCTGTATGGATTGATTTGTTTTCGTGCTATTTCTAGTATATGCTTCTAACTTCACTCGATGTGTGATGGAAATGTAGAAGGGGCTAGTAAAAATCTCAGTATTTTGCATGGTAAATTGAACACACGTATAGTACGATGTTGTGGATATTTTGTACACACTAATAATTTTTGACCTGGTAAAGAACACTGTATGACTTTGAAAAGTGAAGCTAGTGTATAGACAACGCTAAGACATGTGCGTTGCATGTGACTCAGTTTGTCTTTCGTAGAACACCAACATGAAAACAGTTTTAAGATAAGCAAAAGACAATCTTTCATTCAGGTTCCTATGGAATGACCTCAAAGTCATCGCATAGTTGTCTGACATCTTATCGGTGACGTCATCACCTTGTAAGTCAATGTTATTGGTCACACTGATTATTAAACAAATCAGGTGTCAACAGTATTATTGGGTAATTTCTCCCATAGTAATGTAACAAGAATGTTATCATATAAGTGATGTCTGACAATAACCACAATGTATCTGTAGCATTCAAACACGAGCTTATGAATGAACTGAAACTTCGACAATATTTACTCTAATTTATTTATAAAGCGTAGTAACACGCCTTAAACTGTCAGTCCACTCTCTCTCTAGGATGATAAAGAGATCAGTGATGCACCGTTACATTCATGTCGATTTTATGGCTACCTAGTTTGTTAACTTTAATAATAGGATTAACCATTTCGCAAAGTGAAGGCTGGTTTATTTTGTTCTGTGTAGTGGTAGTAATAGTGAAACATGTACAATGTCTGCTTGTTTGCTTTCAACTGTCCTACATATTCTCAGTCTTGTTTTGTTTTCACTTTTTTGGTCTTATTATTGTTATGCCTGTTCGTTGGTTTGTTTTCCTGAGACCGGATTATCACGTCATCGTGCTTAGTCATATAGTTTCTGTAAATGCTTCATATGAACTGTGATCAAGATTTGAACGGATAGTTGCAAAATAATTGAGCGCTGAGTGAGAACTAGACATTTATAAAATTATATTTGTAAAATGTCAGAGAAATTGAAATGATTAATTCCAAGGCAGTCTGGTCCGAACTTCTTCAGGGAAATTAATCGAAATTAAATGCGCTTTTATCTCAATATCTGTTGACTTCCCTTTCATATCTTGGTGGCTTTTTTGTCGCAAATTGGGATCATATAAAAGGCTATTGATAAAAAGTATACATATTTCTTCGACCTGAAAGTGGCATTCGATTCTGTCGACCGAAAGGCACTGTGGCAATGTTTTGCCGTAAAGGGAGTGCAGAGAAAGTATATTACATTAACCAAGCCAAACTTATTGAACTCACACAGCCAGCTAAGAGACTACGGGAAGTTGTCATTGGAAGTGGTGACAACTAGTGGTGTCCGTCAAGGATGCTTGAAGGTAGGAAGGGGGTGAAGTGGTAGAAAGTGTTGGCCACTTCACTTATTTGGGGTGTTGCATCATCCATCGCCAGTGGGTTGATCACTGACTAAATCTCAGCATGGATACAGAAGGCTCTTTTCGCAAATGCCAGTTTACGGCCACCTCTGGCTTAGTAGACGTGATATCCGGCTGGCTGTTGACGGAAGGACGTGTGTACTGCTGAGCAGTTCGCTCTGTCCTCCTTTATGGCTGTGACACCTGGCCATTGAAAGTGGAAGACAGTGAAAACCAACCTGGCTAGCTGTCGTTGATCATGGGTGTCTCCTTTCTATGTTCCGTATAAAGTGGTATAGTAGGGTGAGCAATATTGAGTTTATGCATCGGTCGAGTGCTAGGTAAGGAGGGAGGGGAAATCAGTCGACGAGGCTGTGAAGTTACATCGATTGAGATGGTTAGGACATGTGTTGCGTATGCGTAGCCATCCATCCATCGCCTTCCTCGATGGGGAATGTTAGCTGCCATAGAATAGATCAGGTTGGAGAAGAGCCAGTGGTGGTCAAACGAAAACATGGCTTCATGAGTCAATGAAATTCACAAGAGTTAGTTTCAGGCAGCCAGCCAGGCAGCCAGCCACGTAGGGAGGTGTAGACTTCCTAGTTGTCTGGTTGGGGTCATCGGGATGGTGGGACCCAATGAAGGCTGGAGACGATTGATGATATGGCTGAAAATCGTCGTTGTCAGTAGCTCAGATGCATCGAGTGCTTGTGACTTATCATATCCAATGATAAAAGAATATTGTTTTTCGATATGACTATTCTTTCTGCCTCATATGTCTGTTTATTATATCTGTTTTGAATCTTCCTTCACTCTCTTTTCTTACTTTGTGTGCTACAATGCATGAGGTGTGGTGTGTGTCGAACTGTTGAGCATCGTAGCAAAGTTCTACGTTGAAACCAGTCAGGCAGTCAGTTATCCATTTAGAATTTGTTTCGTTCTCGTATGCAAGTCCCGGGTTGTGTGACTGACTTGGCAACACCGCAAAGCATTGTGCCTAATATCTTCAGGTTCTTGGATGAACGTCTTATCATCTGGCCACTAGGTCGAAGTATGTTAATCCATGATCATCAACTCCTGTTGAACATGTTTCAAAGTTTGTTGAATTTATGTGTTTCATTTCTTTTATAGACTGACTCATTCCGTGGTTTAGCCCAAGAATGTGTGTCAATGTGCGTTCAGTCGTTGGTGAAAGCAAGCGATGCAATCAGCCTTCGTCGGACAGAACTTGATGGACAATTATTTCTCATTAAACATCTTCTTATACTTCGTGAACAAATGGCACCATTCAGTATTGAGTTCTTAGTCAAGGAGACTAGTTTGGATTTTTCCCCATACAAAAGTCAGTTGTGTATATATGCTGTCAATATATTTTTGTATATTATATTTGTAAGTCATGTTTGTTGTATTTAGGTGAATTGATTAGTCAGTCTGAACAGCAACTACTAATACATTATTACTCCTATTGATATTTTAGCCTATAGGATCCTTGTCCTGATAATTGTGTTCAGCTTCGTCAGTAACCGGTCCCATCAGACTACATTCTCATTAGTAGCAGTATTGTGGTGAGTGCTACTTATAGACAGATATAAGTAGTATATCAGTGAACGAGTTCAGGAAAGCAACAATATGCTACCGACACTGATAAAAGCAATCGAGGAACAGATATGTGAAAAGACCGTTACAAACACTGTGCAGAACTCAACGGGCTGTCGAATGTGGTGATATCTGGCCAATTTCCAAAAGATGTGTAAATAAAGCATTTATGCACCTACAATGCGTTTGCACTAGTAAACATTCCCTCGAGCCTCATCGGTCTTTTCTTCCTTATATTTGGTGTACCTGCTTCTGCCAGAGACAAAGGTGCCATGGCCGCAGGTGTCCGGGGAGGGAGAGGTTCGGACATTGCTCAGGAACTTCGAGGCCGTCGCGGACCTGGTTGGAGTGCTGGAGCAGAGGGCGAAGCTGGTCGTCTTGAGGTAAAGTATGACATCCCACTGAAGGACCCGGGGAAGACAACCTTCTCAGCACGACGAGTTCTTGTGCACCTTGAAGAAGAAGTTAACCGACAAGTCGAAAAAATGCTGAGTGACGGAATAATAGAAGAAGCCGATAGCCCATACAGTTCTCTGATCCTTTTGGTAAAGAAGGCTAACGGAAAGCATAGATTTTGTGTCGATTTCAGACAGCTGAATAGCCTCACCGATGTAAAACAGTGTGCAATGCCAACCGCAACAGAAACTCTTGATCGCCTTCAGAAGGTTGAGTTATTCACCGTTTTCGACCTAAAATGGGGTTACTGGCAGATCCTAATAACAGAAAGTGACCGAAGTGAAACAGTGTTCACGGTTGGACTGAAACAATACCAGTTTAGACGAATGCCGTTTGGATTGGTAGGTGCCCCATTTACGTTCAGAAGATTAATGACCTTATTACTGAAGGGTTTGAAGGACGTAGAAGTATATGGAGACGACTTGGTTGTGTGTAGTGAGAGAGGAGGCGATGATCTAGACCACATCGAAGCCATCTTGAAGAGAATTGATGAATTCGGGCTGTGTATTAATAAGAACAAGTCACAAATAGCCGAAGACACTATAGTCCTCGTGGGTTATAGAGTGCTAAATGGAGAAATACGACCATTGATATAAGAATAAAACTTGGGCACTGTGGTAGAGTGTAATTCCATTATGGGTAAATTTTTATTTTGATATTACTGTATAACACTGTGAGACTCTATCAAAATAAAAATTTACCCATAATGGAAATACGACCATTACCTGAGAAAATCCTGACTGTCAAAACCAGTGAAGTACCATGTTCGAAACGAAAGCTGAGATAGTTTTTGGGAAGAGTGGCATTCTACAGCCGGTCTGTCAAAAATTTCAACGAGAAATCGAGGCCACTATATAGGTTGCTGAGTAACGCGAAATTCATGTGGACTACTGTAACAACAGAAGGCAAAGTCAGGCAACAGATCCTTTATTAAGGAAATCAACACATATTTATATATTTTCATGTACATTACTATGAATATTTAAGCAAACAAACACAGTCTTCCGATTGGTTGTTTCTCACGTAAAGTTAATCTTTCATCTATTTGTGACTGTTTCTTGAATGTCAAATCCTCTATATGTTAACTGCATCCGCCTACGCAAAGTCAATCTTTGTTCACATTTTCTCACGACAAATCTTGGGAACATAAATATTGACGTAAATTACTGTCTACCAATTTGGCTAGTAGACAGCTCTCACCACACGATGGAGGCACAGCAAACGTTTAATCGAATCAAAGAGCTGTCAGATGCTCAACAGATGCCATTAAAATTGCCAGTACCTGGGAAGCAGTTGACATTTTCGACAGATCCGAGTGATTATTGTTTAGGTGCTGTTTGAAGACAAACGGACGGGGTTGTTGAATATGGTAGCCGTGTGTTAACACCTGCAGAGCAAAAGTATTCTACGTTGGAAAAGGAAACGAGTGTCTAGCCATTGTATGGGCACTAGAAAAATGGAGACTGTACGTGACCGGTCACGGATTCCACATTGAGACTGACCGAAAACCTCTTCAGTGGCCGAAAACAGCAAGGGACCCTCGAGGGGAGCTGTCACGATGTAAGTTACGCCAAGAAGAGTATGATTTTAGGATTGGACATATCCCAGATAAAATTGTAATAGCTGACTACTTGTTGAGATCAGAAGCTGAGGCCGAACTACCAGAGGTTGTATACGCTTACGCTCTTACGACAGTAATCTAGATGATGAGTGAAGCCAAAGAAATCGAGACATCAGCCGAGAATACAGAGTTAATGACACTACTGCATCACAAACATAGACTCAAACTGAACGCTTCCAGCGTCCTAACTAGGCTAGGCAATGATCGTAACTGAATGTTAATGCGCATTGCAATAAAAGTAAAAGAAAACTGCAATAAATATTTCCAATATTTTAGGTAATTACACTGTTGCTTTCTTTCCTATTTCCCTCTTGTCATTTTATCTTTTGCATTAAAGATTATTCTACTTATCTCTAGTAAGTAGTGTGAATTGTATGTGAACTGGTTAAAAATGTCCATTAAAATTTTCTAAAAAATGATTACTGAACAAAGAATACGCTTTTCGATAATTTCATCATCAGGTTCTACTGTTATATACACACAATAGTGAATGAATGAATTCGTGTTATTGACAACATTATGCTGTTTAAATAACATCGAATCGATAATAACAATAGATTACAACTCGATAGCAACAACATGACAACACACTGAATATCAGAAGGATTAGGAAAGATAACGATCACACAAATTCATGAATTTATAGTCTCAACTGAAGTCCGACGAGGGCAGTAATATTGGCTAGCTGGGCTTGCTTCTTTTTGCACACAAAGCACATGTTGTTTCACGCGAACCACGATAGCCTCTGCTGCTTGGAGCATGCCGTACCTCGATGTTTGTTTGCTATTCGGTAGATGATATAGAAGGATTCTTCAATGCTGGCTTCGTGACCGGTTTGGACCAGGTGGTCTAATATCGAACTGTTGACGTTTTTCACTACACTTTTACATAGCCATACTGGGAGACGCAGTCGAGAACGAAAATAATAATAATATCGTCATGCATATTTTAAGGCTATTTATTATTGGTGAGTAGTATAATGTACTTTCCTAAAATCCTTGACAAAGTTGTAATTCAGGTTGAATAAGGAACATTGAGGGAAATTGGCTAGTCCAAACCACTGCCTTCTAATTTTCTATGGAGTCTACCCTCTTCACATATTTTCATAACTTCTAAACCAATTACATGGACTTTTGTGCAATGTCTTCTACTTCGTTCCACCTATTATTATTATTATTATTTGACTGCCTTGTGGTTTCGAAACAATCCTGTGATTTTTATATATTTTGTCTTCTGGATATTGATGGCGCCTGACTCATTGACTGGTTTCAACACAGAACTTTGAAAGCAATCAGCCAGGTGCTAAAGACACACATACATGTAGTTAGTGAATTCGTGTAGGTTGACACTTCATGCAAACTTTGAGGAAAAGAGCTAGTGGTGGTCACAGCAAAACATGGTTTCATCAGTCAATGAAATCCACAAGAGTTAGTTTCAGCCAGCCAGCCAGCCAGCCAGTCACGTAGGGAGGTGTAGACATCCTAGTTGGCTGGTTTGTTCGTCGAGATGGTGAGAACCAATGAAGGCTGGAGACAATTGGTGATGTGGCTCAAAATCGTTCTCAATGGCTAAGGTGCACTGTTGATCTACAATGTCGCTTATTGAGTATGTGGAAACAGTAGCGAATGTAAATACTATTATTTGAAATCGGAGAAATGATGGGGTCGACTGATTGTCATTGTGCGTTGGTGGCACAGTGCTTAGGACTGTCGCCAACTATGCACATGGTTCTGAGTTCGATCCCCTGCCTGATATTTTTTTAAAATTTTTTTCGTTATAGCTTGAAACCACACAGTATTTTTGGTACAAGTATGGAATTTTCAGCTTGGATATCGGTAGCCCAAATTTTGCAGGCCGACCATAGATATCGGGTGTGCCTCGGTAGGGGATCGAACCTCGCACCATGTGCATGGTCGGCGAGCATCCTAACCACTGTGTCACCGGCGCAGGGTTAGGCCTGCAAAATTTGGACTACCGATATCATATGCTGAAAATTCCATACTTGTGCCAAAAATACGGTGTGGAATCAAGCTATAATCAAAAGCAACTCAAGCTGCTGCAAATTCGTGCAAATTTCTACGTTGAAACCGCTTAGTCAGTTAGTTAGCCATTCTGAATTCGTTTCGTTCTCGTATGCAAGTCTTGGATTGTTTAGCTTGGATACACCGAAATTTCGCTAAATGCCTATTGTCTGTTGGCTAGTGATAAGTGCTCTATCTTACTGTAATAAATGCTTTTTTCATGGTGACTTTGATGAGGATTTTTGTCTTTCACATCGCTGAGATTTATGCACTGATTTACTTTCAATAACCGGAGATAATTCCCAGGATATTTGAACATTCATGTCATGATTTCTGTCATAATCACTGGCTAACTAACTGTGAAAAACTGGCACTAGTACACACGAACTATATTTACTAAAATAATTTCTTTCCACTATCCCAATTCACTTTGTATATAAATTCTTATTTTGTTCAACTTTTTAAACTTATTTACAGATATTGGACGTCATATTTGGGAACATAGAGGAGGTGGTTTGTTTTCACTCAGTCGAGAGAATGCATTATTGAGATTTTTGTTGGAAACTCCAAATGCGATTGATATTGAAGTGGATTCTAGGCGTCAGTTGGATAGTCAATTAAAATATACATGTGAATTACTTATTGAACAACAGGTAGCACAATTAACAGGTGAAATGTCAAATTTCCTTAAAAGAGTAAGTATAATATTGGTGATTTATGCATGGTGTATATTTCCTAGTAAGTCCTTGATTGGACACTGACACTAGTGTCATGTGTCTAATCTTCTGTCTACTGCTAACTGAATTCTATCAGTCAATTTGGCAATGTGAACACCGTGCTAACTGGCTCGCTGATGAGTGCCAACTAGCACGAAATCTAGGTTGAGGAAGGCTTTCTGCCGACTGCCTCCAACCGTATAATATCAACTAGTCATGATTTGTGCATGTACTGACATGTTAACGTTATTGGACAGTTTTGATTCGTTTATCGATGACTGAGTTTTCTGGGGGGGATTTCGATGTCATACAACAAATGTAGTCTGTTTTGTTTATGGCTTAAATTCTCGAGTGTTTGCTAGATATAATGCAACATGTATTTTGTCCAATAAAAGTTGTCGTTGTCATTCCGACTGTCGTTATTTTCCCAGTCTGACTTTGGTGTCTATCTCAGTGTGGAAGATAATTCCGAATGGTCAGTTAACTACAGTGTCGTGTTCTCTAGGCGCATTCTATTCAGGTTTGATGAACTCACAACGCAGTAACATGACGTGGCGTCATGACAGATCTCAAATTAGAATCCCACCCAACCTAGTAGTATATGAACAATAAAGTAGTATCGTTTTAAAGCGCATACAATGTGTGCGGGGTGGATATTAATGGACAGATTGTTTTAAACTGTATTCAACTATAGTTATTTTAAAAGTTGCTATTAATGATGGTATCCATCTATCATTGATATTTTGTCAAACGTACATCATATTGCATCACACACACACATGACATCAGAGATTAGCCTCTTTAGCCCCTTTAGCCTCTTTTAAAATTGCTAGAGAGAGAGACAAAATAAGGTCTTCTGAATACTAAACGCTTATAGTATGCAAAGAGACCAGAGTGGTTCTCCTGCCTATTATTATTATTATTATTATATTGTTAAGTCATTCTCTTATACACAGAAAATCTTTTAGTCTGAGTTGTCGAAGCAAAAGTATGATAGTCAACTCGAATTTTTTTTTCATGCCATCTAAAAGGTTTTTATCAGAACTGTCTTAATACTCCTAGTCATTCTTATCCATAGTGTCAGAATCAAATGCATCGTTTGCATTCTTGAAAAGGCAAGTAACAGGGGGAATTCATAAGTTATGTCCATTCGCAAAAGTAAATAAACCTATACAGCTCTGGTTTAGAGGAGAAGTCATATATGTTCTTTACGGGCAAATATTTTCGCATAGTTTTGGAATTAGAAAATAATATTATAATATTATTAAAATCCTCATCATGACATCTGAGGCAAACACTTTAAACGTTGACGTGAGATCATTTCATCTATGCTTTCCAGACAGACATAAGACTACTTTCAACTAATCCAATGTAAGTAAATTTCTCAGTTCATTTGCTGTTATTAATCAACACTTATTTCACGTAATTAATTATATTTAAAATAACTGGAATTATGTGTAATGGTAGATTTTAATTTCTATTCATTATCACTCAGTTATGAATGTGAATATTAACGATAACTACACTGTTTAATTTTATGCTGTTTTACCAATTGTTTTCAGGCCTATTCAGTCTTAGCTGCTCCAGGTGTTCGTCTTACAGATCAATCTTTTGCGTATGCATCGTATGTAAAAGACATTGTTTCAAATGCAAATCGATTACTTTGTATAGCTCTTGGACGTAGTTCAAATTCGAACCGTTCTGATGTTGGTAAACATTCTGTACCATCCAATCTTAGAAAAGCATTACACATTTATTTGGCCAATCCAGATACAGAGAGTATTTTATTACGTCGTATTCAGTCAGGTGTTCTGTCACAGTGGAGATCGATGTATCAGTTATTAACTGATCATTACAGTGATGAAGATCGTATGATAATTGGGTGTCCTACTGAAAGTCAGGTAGTTTACTATTGTTGTTTTTGTTCTTGTTGTTTCTTGTTTTTATCAAACAATATTTCACTTAGTAATATTTAATTTAATTTTGATTGGACACTAGTAACAAGTGTGATGTGTCTAGTGCTGCCTTTGGTGCAGAATGAATCACACTAGTTACTAGTGTCCTATCAAACTGTCTAATACAGTCCTACAGGAGGTCAATGGGGAGCCTGAATAGATCAGTAGTAACGTCTTTGACTGCAGCTGTGGGTGACGTGAGTTCGAATCCCAGAAGGGACACGATTTTCTCAAAGATTGCAGATACGCCTGGCTGACTGGTGTGAGCGCCAACCAGCAAGAAATCTAGGTTGAGCGAGGATCCCTGCCGACTGTCTCCAACCATCTAATATCATCAAGTTCCATATTTTTTGCTACAATTGAATTTAAAATATTTCTTCTGTCTATAATAAATAATTTCCAATGAAATGTCCAACTTCTTTTTGTTTTCTGATGAAGAATAACAATCTATTCTGTTTTGTTTCCTTTATAGATCCGTCTCTTATTTCAAGATATTTGGATTCCATGACCTATAATTAAATCGACTTTGTATTTGACAGTGATTCATTGTGACTATTTGTTTCGCCTTGTTTCACTGATTCATCTGTGATTTCATGGTGACTGTTTTCCAACAAAAATCAGGGAGAACCAACAGTAACTGATTGAAAATTGAAATGACAACATTTCTATCATAAACCAAACAATCTATTTTTTTCTCAATTAGACGTTGAAAACAAAAGAGTATATTAACATAATATACGACTAAACTATACAACACTTTCACATCGGCGTGTTAGAAAAATGACTAACCGTTAAAAATAATCAATACTTGCTCATAATATAAATAAACAGTGTGTATTAAGCAATGTAAAGTGGAAAAGCAGGCTAATGAAACAGTACATTGATTCAATTTCTCCTTATGTTTTCATAACGCACATACACGCACACACACAAACAGGCATACATGCACACATAAATGCAACATGGATACATACTACCTACATTCAGGCATACATGCATATAGGATGCTCACTAGAAGAAATCGTTTAATACTTGAGAGTAGAAAAAATAGCGGTTATTGGTCGACACACTGAAAATATTCTTGGTGACCCGCCAGGTTTCTGATCCGTATGGAAGAACTGACTTGGTGTTTGTATTGAAAATTCGAATTTTGTTGTTGATACTGAGTGACAGTGAAGATTTCCAGATTGGTTTCAGGTTGATGAATGTGTTTCTCGCCTTCCCGATTCTCGATTTGACATCTTCGTCCGTTCCTCCTGTAGTTGAGACAATGCTCCCTAGATAAGTGAAAGAAGTAACCTCTTTCAAATCCCTACCGTTGATGGTGATTGGCACTAGATGTTGCTGCTGCTGTTGTTGTTGTTGGTCGGTTCTTTTCATAACCTCCGTCTTGTCTATGTTCACCTGGAGTCCTGTCTTTGCTGCTTCTTCGACCAGTTTGTCGGTTTTCGCTTGTAAGTCTTCGATTTTGTGTGACATCAAACATAAATCATCCACGCGCGAAATCCATGTCTTCTAGGTTCTTAACGTCGGTCCAGGATATCCCTGTCTCCTCGTTTCCCACTGTCTGACACATAATCCAGTCCACCACAATTAGGAATATCATTGGTGATAATGAGCACCCTTGTCTGACTCCTGTGTTTACTCGAAACGCCTCGCTGAGTTTTCCGTTGTGGATCACTTGACATGTGCCGTTGTCGTACAGCTGTTGAATAAGGTTGTTGAATATTTGGGGTACGCCGTAGTACTTGAGTAGTTTCCAAATTACTTCGCGGTCAACGCTGTCGAAGGCCTTCTCAAAGTCTATAAAGTTGAGGTAGAGTTTTGATTGCCATTCCATGCTTTGTTCGATGATGATGATGCGTAGAGTTGCAATTTGGTCAGAACATGATTTGCCTTTCCTGAATCCAGCTTGTTCTGGTCGGAGTTCTGTATCCAGTGCGTCCTTGATTCTCTCCAGGATGATGCGACTCAGGATTTTACTTGGCGTCGACAGGAGCATGACTCCTCGCCAGTTCCAGCAGAGTCCTAAGTCGCCTTTCTTTGGTAGTTTCACGAGGTAACCTTTCCTCCAGTCAGTAGGCACCTTTCCCTCCTTCCAGACTTTTTGCAATAATAGAGTCAGCATATCTGCTGTCGTCTCTGGGTCCGCTTTCAGTGCTTCAGGGGGTATTCCATCTAATCCAGCTACTTTTCCAGCTTTCAGAAGCTTGATTGCATTCTAGACTTCAGCTTTCGTTGGAGGATTGGTGTCAACTTGCAGTTGTGTACGTGCTGTTGTTGGTATTTCTGGACGGGTTGTAGGTGATGGTCTGTTCAAGAGTCCTTTGAAGTGGTCCGCCCATTGTTTAATCTGTCTTTCTTCCTTGGTAATTGGGTTCCCTTGGCTGTCTTTTATAGGTTTCACTTGTGTTGATCTCTTCCCGGATAGAGACTTGGTTATCTGATATAATGTCCTTAGGTCCCTTTTGCCTTCTCAGCTTCAGTAGCCAGGTTGTCGTAGAAATGTCTTTTGTCCTTCCTGGCACTCTTCTTCACTTCTTTGTCCAGTGCTGTGTAAGTTGAGCTCAACGTCTCTTTCTCTTGTCCATCATTGCATTGAATCATCTTCTCTTTCACCATACTCCTCTCCTCCATTAGCTTCCAAGTGTCCGTTTAGAGCCATTCCTTGTCTTGTCTCTTCTTTCTTCCTAAAACCGTTGAACACGTTTCGTTGAAAATCACCTTCACAGAGTTCCAATGGTCTTCCACCATTCGGCAATAATTCACCTGAGTTAACTTGATAGCTCACTGAATTTAAACATTTTGAACCATAAATGCTAGTCTCGATTGCTTTTGCTGTATAGTGTGAAGAACAAATAAATATATTTCGATGTACAATATACAATCACAAATAGTAAACAATTCTGACCAAAAATGCCTATAAAATAAAAGGAGTTTCGAAATAATTCGACCTGTGGTGCATATATTAATTATTTGCTTCAAATCTCACCTAATTTACCAGCCAGTGGTAAACCCGTAAGAGAACAAACAATCGGCATGAAAGACACACTCCTTCTCCTGAGGAGAAATTCGAAGCACAGGAAAAATAAACTTATTGTTTCCCGAAATCAGGAAGACGCGACAATCCCACGATGGATGCAACAGTGTGTGAAAGAGTCCGGGAAGCCAGTTGACCAATAATTGTTCTTACCACGAAAGCAAAATTAGGCTGAGGTAGGCTGAGGACAACGTCCACACCGTGTTTCACGTTAGCTGACAAGGCTGATCAGATGTACAAGAAATGAGATTCTCCGATAATGTAACTAACACCGTCCTGCCAGTCTCACATATAGAATTGATTTCGCAGTTATTGCATGGTATTTCGTAAACTACATTATTTTTCCTAATACCATCTATTGGGTCTCTGAGATGATAGAGCTTGTCTCCGGTTCGAATGTCATCTTGTCTTTTGCCTTATCGGGAATCCCACCTAGGACTTCCGATGCCCCTTATTTACATGGCTGCATTAGCATTTATACACAACAGTCATATTTTAATCAGTATGTAGACTGGATCCGTCATACCCAAAATCGTTGGAGGTAGGTCATGCCTGACTTGATTATTCAGACTTAATTAATGAAATCAAATAAACAAGAAAACCATTACTGCTGGATGACTTCTCATCAGAATTCATTCAAAAGTCTATTAAGACCCATAATAAATGACCCACAATAAGCTAGGATTCACGAGCTCTTAGCCATCATTCGGATTGACATGGATTATTACTGTCCATAATGATGGCTCATTTTTACTATCTTTGCTTGTTCCTATTAATGATAACCATGATTATTCTGATTTCGCGATTCTCACTAACTGTCATACAAACTTTCAATCCTGAGGCATTCGCCTCCCTCTCACTCCGGAATCTCCAACCTGTCGCTAAGCTTCCGGGCCTCATTCCAAGGCTAGTAAGGAATGGAAGGTTGGTGGTGAGGCCAGTCGTCCCACCGAGTAAAAAACAGCCCTAGTGTGACTGTAAACTACGAAACCTTCTGATGACAACTCTCAATAAGTTTGTATACGTCTCTGTTATGACGTCGTCGAGTATAAATACGAATGCTGATTTAAGATGGTGAACACTCGTCACTGATCAATTATACCCTGACTCGAATCTGTAAAATCCAAAAGATCAACATGGTGTGGGGAGGGGGGCGTCAATTTCCAAACAAGTGAGATCAAAGAGCGACCAAGGTTACAGAAATATGTGATATTTAATGATCCAGTCGAAGGGTTGAATATTAGGCCTTCCCTACATGCTGCATTATGATTGGTTGACGTCCGTCAGTTGACATGTGATTTGTTTTCGTCTGACTACAGACTGACAAGATAGAATGTGGGCACATCAGACTGACAGATAAATTGTGAGTAGATTCGGTCTCTAAAAGGTGACCTCGGACAAGACAAATTTATTGGTACAACACACATTCTGGTTTCACCATGTACGATCGATGACTTAAGATGAAGAGAAAATTACAAAGTACAGTGGAATTCACGCCTTTGTATATAAGAACATTTAAAACAGGACATGTTGAGGCTTAGAATTTCCAAATATTTCTATATCATGAATTATGAATGAGTCCGTTTGAAGAAAGAATACTCCTTTCTCGATACATTCCGAGTTTTGATTTCAAATCTGCCATCACATTCTACGTGCAAATATATACCGTCTGTTTAGCTAGCTGGCTATCATTATCATGATGACAACTGAAACTGAAAATAATCTGTTGGTAAAGATAATCGTCATTCAGTCAGATCTGTAGGTTTTCTTTCATGTCACCAGGTAGAAATAGTAAACATTAAATATCTAGTAGTAATAGTAATGTTTATAAATTTATAAATAATAATCATAGGGATTCAGCTTACCATAGTGTAATAATAACTCTTGTATTCTTTGCCACATAATATACAATGAACGAATATTTCTCTCTCTTGTTCTTATCACAACAGTCTGTAAAATAATATAAAGAATGGTGCAAGAGTCAAAAGAGTTGAAGAACTCGAATAATGAGTAAATTAAAATCAATGTTGACAGTTAACAGATGACAAATGATCGGTTTGTAGACTCACGAATCCAATCCAACATATATCTCTACACTACATAACTAAGACATGTACTATTTCAGTTCATGAAAAGTCAGTCAGAAGTGGAATGGAAACGCTCATAAGCTGAACGTCTTCAAACGTCATAGTAGGAGATATCGAAAGGTGCCCGATACAATTCTCAAATTACTGATTGCAGACAAAAAAGATTCTTTCCTACAACCTCTTCTTCGCCTCAAATAGCCGAGACTTTATTTACAAAGGGGAGTCAAGTACAGCCAGTGATGTTATCCAGGTTCGCTGGACTCTCCATGGGTTCGTGAACAACACATTATGTTACACTTTTCGGGTGTAACCTTCGGTCATGAATCAATAAGTTCCTCCCACCCGTCAATTATTACTACGCTTCAACGGAGGAAGTTTTCATTTCCTAGAATTGCATGATATTCAACTTAGTACTATATTTATGCATATTATCACTTACACATCTTCTAACTCTAATCTACTCACCTCAGTCATTTGATATTAGTTGAAAAAACACTAATGTTGTCAACGACGGGTATTCTTTAACTAATAGGGATACACAAACGTGAGACGTGATGGATGGGTTATGAAAAAGAATATTCCTTTCCCACTAGTCAGTCTTTTGTCAGACATTGGAAGGAGCATTTCATTGGAAGA